GCTTAGGATTCCTGTACAGTGTGTGGACACAGGTAGGGGGGGGTCTCAGAATGGGACCCAAAACAGGGAACACACTGGGTAGGAAGCTGCTGAAGTCAGCATGCCTAGAGAACAGCTGTCTAGAGCTAGCCAACAGGTACAATGGAGTCCTAATGTGACCCCTCACATACCTTACATGGTGTCACGGGGGGCTGTTTCCAGTCTCCACCCACCTGGGATCCTCTTCCTGATGGGTAGGTGTTCATACCTTTTCTTTCAAAGAAGTGAGCAAGAGTATTTCTGGTCTTTTAAAATATGACCTGAGGACAAAGTAGTGAGTAGTGTTGCCTCTCCCTTATGTAGTAGCTCAGGTGCCTAGAACACTCACCCAGCATGCGGGAAAAATGGGATTTATTTACTACTTTTGTCTGGGGGGATTCAAACTCATAGCACTTATTTCCCAGGTAAATGCCCTCACAGCTTAGCTATAGGCTGTTTTGGGTAGGGGCACTGTCCTGGATGTTGGAGGTCTGAGTTAGAATCCCTTGATAGCAGACAAAGTTGAACAAAAGTTTCCCTCATCTTGGGTGGGTGTGAATGTTATAGCCAGCAGCCTATCCATCACCACCATCTTTTGTAGCTGCACTTGAAACGAGCATTGGTCATCACCAGAGATGACCCGAGCAGGGATGGCCCTGGTCGGCACCATGTTCTGTGGAAGGAGCTGCATCCTGTTGCCATATTGGGTATATTCTGTGAATGCCGTCAATATCAAGCCTCTGATAAAGACTTATGTAAAGGAATGTCTAGTGTTTGGACCTTGATTGGGTTTAAATGTGAGCAGTGTTCTAAGCTTTGTAGCTCTGTCAAAACAGAGGCTTTTTGGAGCATGTCTGAAAACAGAACTGCAAATGCCTGAGAAATTTTAAGAGCAAAAGCTGGTGTCCATGGAGTTGAGTTGCCTCAGAGTTTAGGCAGCAACTGAGCAAAGTTTTCAGGATTCCAGTATTAGACTTTGGCATGCACTTCCGTTGAATTCTCTTTTTAGGAGCCTAAATCCTCTTTCGGATCTTGGGATTTACTACTTTCCCATCAGTAAAACTGAGGCAATAGTATTCACTCTTTTCTTCATGGTGTTGTAAAGGTTAGTTACTTTGTATAGAACCCTGAAGATAAAAGCCACTGTATGAGTATTGCTATTTTGATATGCTTAGTAATCTGATCTTTAGGCTAGAGCAGGGTAGATCCTCTTCTTTCAAAGGCCTGATGGAACAGGCCTCTTCAGTAAATAGAATGGCTTTTACAAAAAACTTTTCAGCTGCCATTTGAACTGGTTAAGCTTGTTTGCCTAACATTTGCTATTGAGGATTTGTCTTTCACTGAAGAGAGAACTTTCTTTTTAAACAATTACGTTTAACAATGTACAGATCTATGTTCATGGGTGGATGGAACTTCTGTTAATAGCGTACTTGTCTACGGATGATTTTATCAAAGTATTGTTGTGTTTGTTTTCCAGATGTGCTTGCCCCACAGTATCCCTGGCAGTCAAGTGATATGTCAATGAACATGCTGCCTCCTAATCATAGCAATGACTTTATGTTGGAGCCTCCAGGGCACAATAAGGAGAATGAAGATGATGTAGAAGTTATGTCAACAGACTCTTCAAGCAGTAGTAGTGATTCAGATTAGGTCCTGGAAGGAGACAACATTCAAACCAGACTTAATTTCTCTTGCAAACATCACTTGGACACTGTTTATCAAAACTTGCTATACCAGCCCCAAATGTTGACTCCACATTGAGAAGATAAAGATGGTGTACAACTCAAGTGGCAATTTGTTTTCTTGAGCTCTCTGGCCTAGACTTTATCCATAAGACACTATAAAAATGAGCAAAAATGGCTGGTAATTTTTTGCTTGAGGAAGCTTCAAATTTCCAGTGAATCATTTCTGTAAACTGTGTATACATCTGTGTTTTTTTTTTTACTACACATTAGACAGTATATTAAGTTCCTGGGAAAGAAGTTGTAAGGGGAATCCCCTTGGATGTTAGTAACTTGCTCTTTTGATAATAGCCATTTAAGGCACAGAAAAGATGTAAAAATGTGTAGATTTTAACAGCTGGGTTTTTTGTTACTTACTGCCAGAACTCAAATTCTTGATCATCATGTGCTTCAAGAACTAAAATGTAAAGTGGCAATAAGCTATATTCAAGAAAGTTTGTAATTATTGTAATATACAGTGAATGGTATTCTTATAAATAAACTCAACTTTAATGTTGTTTACTCTTCAATTTGCAGAATTTAGTATTAGATTAATTTTATTGTGGTATTGGATAATGTCTCTAATCAGCATCTCCAGAGTATGTAATCCCCATGCAATAGAAACGAGAAATTGTAGTTCAGCAGTTTCCATTTGCTATCTAAGAAACCTAGTTAAAATTTAGAGCAAAGCTGCTTTTTTTTGTTGTTGTTGCTCACTCCAACATATATGCATCTCAAAATATTTTAGCCAGAAGACTATTGATGTGCCATACAGCCTTTTTTGAATCATGTAAATATGAATGTAGGAGTGGAGGGTACATTCTAGACCATAACATCCAATCCTGTTAGCATGGGCAACCACCTCATGATCCCTTTAATAGTTTGATCCAGCTCCACTTTAAAACTAGTTGAGGGCTTTATGTGTCTATTAATCCCCTTGGAAGGCTGTTCAGAACTGAATTTACCACCTATATTTGTTTCTGACTAAATTTTATACCAATTTCTTGTGTCACTTGTCATTTAGTTGTCTAGTTCTCACTCCTTGTGGTTTCCTCTCTCTGTTTATAGAATGTATTTGTAATTCTCTCACAGCCTTCATTTGACTGGGCTAAACAAGTTTAGCTCTTTTAAGTCTCTAGTAAGAAGAGCTGTTCCTGCATCATCCTAGCAGTTCCTTTTATATCTGTTGTAGTTTGTATTCATCTTTCATGAATAAGAATGACCACGCTTCCATGAAGCATTCCAGATCAGGTTGTTCTCAACACGCTCTATACAATTATGCTAATCCAACTGTATCTCTTAAAAATACCTCACCTAATAATCTCTGAAGTGGCCTGTTTCACAGCTGCTAATTAACATTCTATGATAGACCAGTTGTTGTCAACTGGGGGGGGGTACATGCACCCCTGGAGGTACTTGGGAAGCCCCTGGGGGGGGAGGAGTATGCAGCACTTCTGGTTTTGCTGTGGGGGACCCCACTCATTGATTGGCTGGGGGGACTCCTTGTTTCTGGACTGGCTGCCAGGGGTACAGCAACTAAAAAGGTTGAAAAACCCTGCGATAGACTAATAAATCCAGGTCTTTATCTCTAGCCATTTCAGCTGAATAGCTCCCAGTTCCTAGGCAAAATTCATGTTACCAGTTATAAGTGTATGACCTTTCTTTTTCTTTACCCATGCACTTATGAACAAAAAAAAGGGCCACTCTATATTATTTTCTTACATTTGTGGAAAGTATGTAAAGCAATTAGTTACTGACATGCACAGGAGGTGGTAAAAAGGAGCCAGAAATGGAAAACTGAAGCATTCTAATATCATGACATCTCTATGTTCAAGCTGTGACTTTACATGACAGATGCAACTAAATGAACTGCCAGTGGAGAAAGACTGAACCCTGCCCACTTCCTTTCAGGTTTCTTCAAAGGATAAAGGGATCCTAAAATATCTTTGTTCCAAATTCACTTTGTTCTTAACTCCAGCAGTCTAAATGCTTATTTGTATTATCTAGCACACTGAAGATCTGAAGCAGGACCTTTTCATGTTTCAGATAAAAATACAACTACCCTTTTACAGTTCTTTAGTCCTAAATTGAATAAGTGTTCACAAAAGCAAAGGTTTTTAAAATAGCTTGACTAAAATATCCGTCCCTTCAGCCGCCCTGGGTTCACTGGTTCTTTGGAGATTACAATTCTAACATTTGCCCACAATTCTCCATGGAAAACTGTGTGGACAAAATCTGAAAAGAGCTGCTTGAAGAGGAAAGTTTTAGAAGGAAATGGGACAGAGCCCTCCTAGTAACAAAAACAATCTGACAGATGATGGGAGCATGGAAGGGACACTTGAAAAAAAAGTTAAGGCTCCTGGCCTCATTTAATATGACTTTGTTTTGCTTACTGAAAGCAGCCCACACTCCAAGGAACATAACTTCATGTGCTTCTGGCAGCTCATCATAGCTCCCATGTAGCACCTGTGCTGAAGGCACCAGCTCCTACAGGGGCTGTGAAAGCTTGCAGAAAGCACAGAAGTATCTACACATGCCTTGTACCACCTACCAGCAGAAACTGGTATTCTGCTACCCTAGACGTGCTTTGAGCATAGAGTTGCTCACTTTGCTGGTGGAACACTGTAGTAGCATAGACTAGACTATAAGTAATGGTGGCAAAGGAGATGGAACCAAAGACACGGTAAGACTAGAAAAGCCTTTGGGCTGGCAACAGGAACATGGACTTGATATATGGTACTGCATGCAACACAGATACCACTGTTTAATACTGAACTCTTTAAGAGTGTGTTGACAAGCATAAGCCCGGAAACAATCACTAAAAGTTTCCTCCAAACCATTTAACAACAGGCAGATGGAGGCTCTGGAGTAATATTACTGAGTATTGTTTTCAGGTTTCTCTTCAGAGTTAACCTCACTCTTTACAGGCTGTGAGGGTCAGAATCCTGCAAGGAACAGAAAACTCCCAATGGGATTGGTGCTAGCAAACTTAGTCTAATCGCTGGGGCAGTTAACTAAGGCTTCTCTTGGCCACACAGTGCATCTGCCCAAATTCAACTGGGGAACAGAACATAAGGAAAATATATAAATGTACATCATTGGGTGGGAAGAGCTGAATGGGCTGCTGTATAAGCCACTACTTCAGAAATTCAATGTTAGAGCCAACGAACAACACCAAAAAGGTGAGATCCCAACAGATGCTGAACACTTCAGTTTTTGATTCACTGATTACATCACAGGATTAGGCAATGTGACCAAAACTAGGTATATAAGAAATCATTTATTTGGTAGAGTGAAACTTGGCAAAAAAAAAAAAGAACATAAATGCAGCCCCCATATCCTTGTTTTCTCATTGGCACTCCAGTCTATCCACTTTAAAATTAAGGTCTCTGCTTAATGCAGGATCAATAAAAAAAATCATTAAAATTGGTTCACACCACACGGTCCTGTTTGTGCTTCTGCAGTATTTTTTTCCTTTTTGTTTCCAACTTCACTTAGGACCTTTCCCCATCTTCACTCTGTCATACTCATACAACTGGCTTAGGTATACACAACTGTAGCCATCATGTTCTCACAGGTGGCTATTCTATTTTGCAGATACAGCCATCGCCATGACTTGATGCATGGTCCTTGTAGAAGCATCATGCAGCCACCCAGCTACCAAAGGTACCACCAGAGGTCGACTTGTCTAGGATTCCTATGTTTGGCATCGTTTTAGCTTTCGCAACAGGGGAATACGGAGAAGAGCAGGGCCGTGAAATACATCTCTGTAGATATCACATACGTAGACAGTCTCCCTGAAGCGAGGTCTTTATCAGATGTTCCTAGGCCATCTCCTGGTGTCTTCCAGTGTATCCCCTGAGGTGATGAAGCTCTTCCGTGAAGGGGTCGTACCCTTGCTCTCTCAAGCAGCGCAAGGCCCAGAACAGCTGTTCAGCCTGAGGGAATTTGTCCCATGGGACCCACTCCCAACCTGTGCAGAAGGCAGCAAAGGAAGAAGCCTGGCATGCAGGGAACCCCCCCGAGGCCACTGCTTCCCTGCACACCAGTGTTGCCAGGTCTTAAATATGAAGTTTTCATATTGGAAGCTCATATTTATAATGAACACTTAAAAAAAAAAATATGCAAATAAGTCTTAGTTACTTTATATTGCTTGCTGCAAGTAGCCAGTGAGTTAGTGAGATCTGGGTTAAATGGAAAAGTCTTTATTTTGAGGCAAGGAGTCAAGTGCTGAAGCAAACCCCAGAGTTAGTCCAGACTCCCTAAGAATAATGTGGGTTTTGCCTATGCCGCATCAATAAGCTGTCTCCAAAAATATCGTGTAAGGGTTGAAATGATCATACAAACAGGATCATTATCGTGCACCTGGCAACACTGGCAGGTCTGCGCCCTCCACCCTCAGTCCCTATGACGTCCTTCACACAGGACCCACCCCCCAGTGGCCCCGCCCCTTACCCTCGTTCTTGTCGGGCTCCAAGTTGCGCGGCTCGTAGCCCGCCTCCACCTCGCCCTTCATAAGTACGGTGACGTAGTGGTAGCGCTCCGCCTCACACACCACGTTTACAGCTGATGCGAAGCGCACGTTACACAAGGGCAGCGCCGCTTCCTCCAGCGCCTCCCGCTCCGCGCATGCGCCAAGGCTTTCTCTGCCGGGGGAAGGGGAACACGCGGCCGTTAAGCTTGGGCTCAATGGCTCCAGCCTCGGGGGAGGAGCTCTCGCCGGCCCCGCCCACCGCGGGGGGAGGGGCACGCAGGCAGCGCCTACCCGAACTCCAGGTGGCCTCCGGGCAGCTGGTAGGTGCCGCCGCCGAGGGGCCCCTTGCGCTTGCCCAGCAGGACGCAGTTGGGGTGTGCGGCGCTGGTGATCACCACCCCCACGCCCACGCCAGGCCGTGGCAGCTGCGCCCGCTCGTTTCCCAGTGTCCCATCCATGCGGCAGTCAGGCCCTGACATCAGCGCGACTCCTCCCCCACGTTCCTGCGCCTCATTTTGGCCGCCAGGGGCCGCTCCGCAGTGGAGCTGCGCATGCGCAGACGACCCTGCACTCAAGGTTAATAGATATGTGGGAGTGGGGGTGGTGTCTGCAGGGGCCGTGGTGCAAGGCGGTAGCCACCGGGTCTGCGAGAGGCGCGCAGAGCCCTAGAGCAGCGGGGCGGGGCCTCCACGGCTCACCTTGTCCATCCCCATCCAAACCTTCCCCTACAGTCATTCCTTGGATTTACTGCTCCTTTCCCTCCCCATCCAGTCTGCCACAGCCCTCTGGGGATTGCCCTCGCTCCCTTCCTCTGGCTTGTCTACACCCTCTGCTGCCAGCCAAGTGTCAGGGGAGCCTGGGCACCGCTTTGCTGTTCTGCTAGGAGGTGGCTGCATGCCCTGATCATAAAGCAGTTAGTCAGTCATCTGAAGACCCCTCCTGCCACCCTGACGTTACTGGCATCTGAGCTGCTCTGAATCCAATTCAGATTTTATGCTACAGCTGTGGATCTGCTCTCAGAGCAGCATAATGACAGAAGGGGTAGTCCACCTAATGGGAGAGAAGCAGAGCTGAAAGGGTACCTCCAGAGGTCATCTAGTCCAATGGCTGGATTGCACCTATCCAAACCATCCCATACAAACCATTGTATAACACAGGAGTGCTCAGCACCTGGCCTGTGGGCCAGAGTCAGTCTCCAGCCCCATGTCATTAGATGCACAGGTATGTGTGGGGCCCCAGATCCTGATCTTTGCACAATGGACAAGACAGGGGCCTGATTCTGGTATCTGCAGCCAAATGGATGTGGTGCAGAGCTCCAGAGCCCAACCCCAGTGGGCAGAGGTGATACAAGGCCCTCGAGCCCGGTCCTGGCATACACAGTCTAATCGAACCCATGGACAGGTGACACCAAGCTGTGGGGAGTAGTAGATACACTGGAGGGAAGGGCTAAGATTCAGAGTGACCTAGAGAAATTGGAAGATTGGGCCAAAAGGAATCTCATGAGATTCAACAAGCACAAGTGCAAAGTCCTGCACTTAGGAGCAAACAATCCCATGCACCAGTACAGGCTGGGGGTGACTGGCTGGGGAGCAGCTCTGCAGAAAAGGACCTGGGGGTTACAATGGACAATAAGCCGAATATGAGCCAGCAGTGTGGCCTTGTTGCCAAGAAGGCTATAGGCATACAGGTTTCTCTTGCTTTATGCTGTACATACGTTTATGGAAAACAGCGCATAACTTGAATTCACATAAAAGGAACCCACTTTAGAATGTCACAAATAGGGATATGTTCCAAGACCTTGACTGTACTGACCCCCAGACCCATTTCCACCACTTTTACAAGAAAATTCTGGTACTCACCAACAGAAGGCAATACACACAAGCACAGGGCACTGTCATAATGGGGATGGCAACTACAGTAACACGTCGCAGACAATGAACGAGGAGCATAAAACCACACAGGACACTATATTTGGTGCATGCGACTCCCACAATGCACCGCACAAAGCAGCTGATTGTGGGCATCCACCACACTGATCTCATAAGTGTGAATTTACTTCGCATATAACAAATTTTTGGCATAAAAAGGGTCATCACGTAAGAGTGAATTCACGTATACAGAACTCGCATAACGGGAGGGAATCCTGTACTGGGCTGCAATGGTAGGCGTGTCAAGGGAAGTAATTATTCCCCTCTATTCAGCACTGGTGAGGCCACATCTGGAGTACAGTGTCCAGTTTTGGGCCCCCTCACTACAGAAAGGGTGTGGACAAGTTGGATCGAGTCTGGGGAGGGTGACAAAAATGGTGAGTGGGCTGTGGCACATGACTTATGACAAGGAGCAACGGTCTCAAGTTGCAGCAAGAGAAGTTTAGGTTAAATATTAGGAAGAACTTTCTCATTAAGAGGGTAGTAAAACACCAGAACAGGTTACCCAGAGAGGTGGTGGAAGCTCCATCCTTGGAGGTTTTCAAAACCCAGCTAGACAAAGCTTTGGCTGGGATGATCTAGTTGGTGTTGGTCCTGCTTAGAGCAGGGGGTTAGACTACTAGATGACCTCCTGAGGTCCCTTCCAACCCAAACTTTCTATGATTCTTCAATGATATTGTGACAGACCCCATGTCACTCTTCTGGCCTGCAGAGCCAAAAGATTTAGAACCACAGTATAGCCTCTTAGCAAAACTGCACAGTTAACCCTGACACAACTATGAGACATCTCACATCAGAGGCCTTCGGGAGATTGTTGAGGCCTTCAGAATTGACTCTTAACATTTCTCTGCTCCTTGGGGTTGTGGGAGTCCTGACTATTACAAGTTCCAAGCCTGCAAGGAGGACAGTTATGAAGGTGACATTGAATTGAATGGAAGATAAATAGATAAGCCACACACACTCGGGCCCTTCGCTAGATTGCTTCCATCAGACCCTTCCCTAAACTTATATGAAGTAGGCAATATTTGCCAGTCTTTAAAAAAGAGCTTTCATCTTCGAGAGGGTCCATATAGATATCAACCAAAAGGAAATTCTTGGTTTCCCCTAGCACGGGGTGGACAAAATGGCAGATCTGGCTGGCAGCTGGACTCCATTTCTCTGCAGCCCCTGCCCATAGCATGTGGGCAGTGGATTGCAGCTCTGCCCCAGTTCCAGACCACACTGTCACCGCCACAAGATCCTAGCCCTGGAGCAGCCTCCTGCCCAGCTGTGCACCCTGCCAGTGCTGCTAGGGTCGGTCTCTGTGGATACCCTACTCTCGTGCTGTTATAGCCCCATTGCTGCTGGCATCTGCATGGAAACTAGCTGCAGTGATGCAGGCAGGGGCTGCTGGGAAATAGAGTTTGGCTGCCAGCCAGATCTGCCATTTTGCCCACCTGGGCATTTGCTCATCTGGTCCATGGGCCAAACTTTGCTGGCCCCTGCTTTAGCAGGAAGGTATGTAGAATTCTACCTCCCCTACTGCACTAAATCGTATTTCCTTATCTTTAAAACTCTTATTTTCTTTTCAGTTTACGAGCAACTGGCTTGGTAAAAAGTTTTGTGGTTATGGATGATGTATGTTGATAAACATTATTTTATTGAGTGAATCTATTCTTTCACCTTCATTTTTTTCTACGGTTTTTTGTGCAGAGCTCTGTGACATTGTTTCATTGCGTTTTGTCCATATCGGCTTAACATTTGTTTAAACCAAAATACCTGAATAAGAAGCAGAATAAAGAGAACGGATGAGAATCAGTCAAGAATAGGAAAATAAAAATTAATCTTATGCTGAATGGGAAGATAGGAAAGCCTGTGAAACTCAGTGCTAATGTCTTGCATCATTGTGTACTGACATACTTCATAAGAAAAGCCCGACTGTGAATCTTTACTAACTTACTGTCTAAAGTAAATTAGCTGTTACCAAATTGCAATTAGGTAGCAGCTAATTTACTTTAGACAGTACAAATATGAAAAACAGTAAAAGAAAAAGTAATTATGGAAATGACAACTTTCTATGAGCAAAAAACTTCTTTATGGCGATGAAAATTTTGTGTATTCTAGGATTCTGTAATTGCAGATTTGCCATGGGACTGATCCCAGTGAGAATTGTGATTCAGAATTTAAGCTGTGTATAATTTAGACTAAAACCTCATTATAACAACCCCCTACTTTTAACAATCTTGATAGCAAGAATTGATTTTTTTCATTATTACAACACAAGTTGACTAACCCTGTTATATAACCCCAGCAGGTATTATAGGAATTCATTATAATGAGGTTGTATTGCATGTAACAATGTGAACTGAATGTTAAACCAATGTCATACTTTCTTCCTAAATCTGCAGAAATCCTAAAACGGTAACTACTGAAAATATGTAGACTCCCACTATTCAAGCTCACCTGGCTGTCAGCTTTAAAAACTAATACTCAAGCCAAGGTAGTTAACTATTTTTTACATTTTAACACATATTTAGATGCATTCATACCAGTGTCCCCAAAACTTGTATTTGCTTACTTACCAAATACTCCAGCATCTCCCTGAACAGCTTCCTTACAATAGAGAATAAATATATAAAAATATGGAGTCTGACATGTAACACATTTAAGGGAAATATGGGCAAAATACAGTCAATTCAATGTAAAAAAAAAAAAATACAAGGGAGACTATTGCTTGCTCTTTTTCATGTTTAATTTTTAATGTCCTTTTTCTAATTCACCTGAAACTGTTATAGACTTTGTAGTCTGCTGTAACAGGATGCTATAAAAAGTAAGGGGTTTTGTTGGCAGTGTTTGGGCCCTGTTTACTACAGAGTACACAGAGGCTTAATAATATGCCACATTTGCATGTGTACTGGTATCCATCTTCCCTGTTTCCTTTTAAAGGGGTGGAGACTCATTCTTTTTGTGGATTGTGTCTGAAAAGCCCATGTTTTAGAGCTCCTGCCAGCTGCTTATAGGGGCAAGTAAATTCCTCTCCCCAGTGTATTATTGGTTGAGGAGTTTTTCAATATTTGAACTATCTTTCAATGGAACACAGTCAAAGTTAAGAATGTGACCCAAGGCCAGATTAATGCATAGGCAAACTAGAGACATGCCTAGGGCCCTGAGCTGTGGGGCCCTGGTCCTTCCCTCCACTGTGGATGTGTGAATTTACTTCCCCCTTCCCTTCCCCTCCACTCTGCTGGCTGCTTCCTAGTGGCAGGTCTGAGCCCCACTCCCTGCGGGTGGTAGCGCTGGGGTGAAGGGGGGGGTCTCAACTGGCCCACGAGTTTGTTTGCCTAGGGCCCCACTAAAGAGTTAATTTGGCCCTGATTTGACCCCTTCCAAGCCTCTCTTCCTCTGTCCCATATTCTGCAGGAAAACAGTAAAGCATTGTTTTAAAATAGGTCAGTTCAAAGTAAAACCTCTATGGAAATAAAGTTATTATATTAAAGTCAAGGTTTGACAAACTTAAGTAAAAATAACAAAAATCTGGCAGTTCCTCAATTTGAGGATGATCTCTACCACAGTTCACTGATGGGTCTTGAGGTGACTTAAGAGTCCAGTTCTTGAGCCATAGA